AAATGAATTTTCCTTGCCCACAACTTTTGGATGGTGCAATAGTCTACTTTGACATTTTATATGGTTTATATTTAGTCTCATCAACCTTTTATTTTTGCCTTCTTCAGGGGGGAAAAAAAAGGTTCCTTTTGCCTTTAGAACTCGAATCAACCCTTGCAAGTATTGGTTATCGGCTGGTGTGAAAGTCATGCTAACGGATACTAAACTAACTTGCAAAATTATAATTTGACACATTTCCTTGTCTACCTTTCTTTATGGGATCATTCTAATGGTTCTTCATATTACTTTAAACATCTCTTTCATGAAAAATATATTTGTTGCTATCACCAAAAAAAAAAAAAAAAGGGATAAAAATGAAGCAGATTAAAATTCAAACCTCTTGGTTATAAATCCTTGTATAATTTGCCGTCTTCAAATTCTCTCTTCTTTTTTATTCAGACCCTTGTTGTTTTTACGTGATGCACTGATATTTGATCCATGCCCTTGCACTTATCTTACATACATGCATATATGGATCTTGGCGCCCACCTTTTTGCTCTGTACTATACACCCTGTAATTTTTTGCTTTACAGCAATAAAAAAAAAGTCATATAAGGCATACTCTGTTCATGGATGTGCATGTAAGCTATGTTTGGTGTTGAATAGTTTTCTTTCCAAGTTGTGACTTCTGTGTCTTTCTATTTTATTGTTGTTCCTAAAAACATAGTACCTGAGGCAAGTCTTCTGCATAGTCGCTACCTGAATCTTGATGAATTGGCTGTCGAAGACATAATTTGGATTGATGGGATTAATTCTCTTCGCAATGCAACATGCCACATTGAAGGATGTAAAGTTGTGGGCCTTGATTGTGAGTGGAAACCAAATTACATAGAAGGCAGCAAACCCAACAAGGTAATCATAACAAATTTTCTCTGATTCATTGTTGCATCTCTTGCGATATCTTTTTCTCTTCTGACAATTCTTGATAGTTTGATTGTTCTGTCATATTTGACCCTAATTTCAGCCAACCATTTTATTTATAGATCTCCACGTAATATCTTATTTGTTTGATCAAAATGAGGTCAGATAACGGTGTGCCAATGTGTTTTGTGTAGAAGGAATGATCTTTCTTTATCCGGGTTTCAGGTTTCTATCATGCAAATCGCTTCTGATAAAATGGTTTTCATCTTAGACCTCATAAAGTTGTTTGAAGATGTGCCTGACATTCTGGACAACTGTCTAACTCGCATTTTGCAGTCCCCTAGGATTTTAAAACTTGGTATGTAAGTCTCTGCATTATTAAAATGGATTCTCTTGCTTCCCTGTAATTATATGATTTTTTGAATAAACTGTTTTGTGATAGGTTGCACTCTAGGGTTCTTAGTTAAAGTTTACTTAATTGTCTGCTACTTTAGAATACCAAACATGGGACTGGACTAAAAGCGTGCCAAACAACCCCATGGGGAATAATATAATGCTGCCTGTCAAGTAAAAGTTCGGTCCGCTGCTTGTCTCATAATTATTTATACTATTCATATGGCTGGGGTATTCGTAGCCTTTTCATTAGTCAAATATCCCGTGGATACTTCCTAATATTAACTGTAAGCATGGTTTCTTTGTGGCTTATGCGTGTTTTAGGTTACAATTTTCAGTGTGATATAAAGCAGCTGGCTCATTCCTATGAAGATTTAGGGTGTTTCAAGCACTATGAAATGTTACTGGACATTCAGAATGTCTTTAAGGAGCCTCGTGGGGGTCTCTCTGGGCTTGCAAAGGTAACATAATACTGCATCTTTCTGAATGTCCGTGCTTATGATTCTTGATTTTTTCCTTATCCTTTTTCTCTTTTAATGGCGTTGACACTATATTCAGCTAAGAGCAATGTATTAATAACTACTGCTGTCAGAAAATACTAGGGGCTGGATTGAACAAGACAAGACGAAACAGTAACTGGGAACAACGTCCGTTGACTCGGAATCAGGTAAGTTGCTTCTCCATGACTCTGTAAACAAGTTCATTGTTGTCTTGTTGCTATGATTTGGTTGGAGAGATTGTTACTTGTTTTCATTGGAGCAGTATGGTGAGTTTTAGAGTTACTTGCATACAATTATTCCAAGGTTCTTTTTCTAAGATATTTCTTTTGAGGGATCTGGGATTTGCATTCTTTTTGTTTCTGCTTGTGCTGCATACTGAAAATAATGCATTGTAGTACGAATCGAAGTTCTGGTCTCCCAGTGTTTTTGAACAGTTTTATGATCTGAAATTATTTGCTTGATCTATGGAAAAAATGCGTCCATTTTGGCGTGCAATCAAATAAGCTGATGCTATATGCTCTTTCAGCTGGAATATGCTGCTCTTGATGCTGCTGTGCTTATTCCCATATTTTGTCATGTTCGTAATCGTTCTCAGACTGACGATGTCGAGGGACATGAAAAAATCGAGTGGAAGTCCTACATTGTAAGGGAAATTTTGTGATCTCTGTTTCCAAGTGATGCGTTTGCGCGTTCTTGTGTCTTGTGTTCTTCATCGATCTTTCTGTTAATTCTGTTTTTACCATACAGGTTTCACATATGGATAACCCCAAGAAGCCCAAAAGGCAAAGTGGAAGAGATCAGAAATTAGAAGCTGATAGAAAGTTGCACTGATGATCCAGTTGGTAGCATAGTAATTAGTATACTCCGCTGTAAATATATCTTTTTATTGGACGGTGATGAACAATGATATTTATGTGAATATTTTTCACTCACTAGGAGCAATGGAAATGACTGGCCTGCTGTTTCCCTAATGTTTTGAATCATTAACTAGTTTCCATTCCATTTCTTTTTTACCTTTTGCCACTGCCTTCCTATTTGGAAACTAAATCATTTATTTTTTTTCACTGCTGGGGTCTTTCCTATTCGAAATCAAATAATTTAGTTTGCATTGTTTGCTAACGCCCCATTGTGCAGGTCGTAAATGAATCCAAGAACTATCTTTGTGCAATACTTGTGGTCACCAATAAAAACCTTAACGATATTGCGCAACTCAGAACTATAAGATTTCAACAAGTTTTGTTCAACTTTTTATTTTTTATTTTTTAGTTGTGACTCTTTAACTCGAGGAGGGTATTTTATACCCTACCACAGAATTCTCCAAATATTTTCTAGTTTGTTTTCCGTCTAATATCAAAATCATGCCTTGAGATTTCTTCTTCCGAAGTAACTAAAGGCCATTGATTTTCTTTTTTTCCACGAAATTGTGATCTGCTTTTGGCTATTTTAGTTTGATGAAAACACCACTACGATATGTACTTCTTGAAGCACTGCTTGAACCAAAAGGAGCTGAAAAGGATAAAAGAAAGGTAGAAATATATTTTTCTGGCTTATCATTCTGCGCCGATTAATACATTTTCCACGTTGTGTTGACTTCTAAATACAAGGTGTTCAAACCTTGTAATTTTGCTAAAGTGCCACCGAAATTATGGGGATCAATCAGGTTTGTATTGTACTATCACCACATTTTATGGTCCCAAAATGAAAGTAGAGAGCACTTGTCTATATTTAACCATTTCGTTACATTACATGGCAAAGAAAACATCTGCAATCAGTCAACAGAAGAATTACACCCCACAATTAGGAATCCTTTCACTTATCCACCTTTCCTTCCCCAAAATAAAAGGCCTTAAAATTACCAAATCTTCTCTCTCTCTCTCTCTCTCTCTCTCTCTGGGAACCAAAAAATATTGGACAAAGAAAGAGAGAGTAGATGGGGGAGATAATCTGGCAGTGCTTCAACGGAGCTCGTCGGAGCATAAAGATAGTGAATGCGAGTACTTTGAGCGAGAATAGGAGGATATACCAAGGAGGATGGTCTCGTTATCCATTGTCGGATTGTTCTCCAAAACGACGCTTAGCCAAGGCATCCAAGAGCTCCTCTCGGTCGTGGAAGTCGTGGTGGAATGACCCCGAGATGAAGAGGCGGCGGAGGATCTCAAAATACAACTTGTATAGCGCTGAAGCCAGCGTCAAGCGCTCTTTCAAGAAAGGCCTTCGCTGGTTGGGGAAAAAGTGCTCTATGATCATAACTTCTATTTGAACACTGACATTGTCCTTATGAGAGAGACCGGAAAATAAATTTGACTTTGTTAGTGCTGCTTTATTCTTCCTGTTTTCATGCTCAATAATGGAAAGCTTTTCTCCTTTATATTCGGAACTAATGTTTGTTCAACTTATAGTTTTTCTTTTCCCTTCTTAAATGTGTAATATACCGTATTACTGTTCGCGTCTTGTATTCTTGATCACATTGACGTGGTTTTTCAAATGCAGATGATATTTGTTTTCTCGTCATTTCATCAAATTAGCAGCGTTTTTTGTTTGTTAGTGTAGACCTAAAAAAAAAAAAAAACAATGAAAGAGAACGACATATATTGTGAAAAATCTTCTTGGGGCAAGTTCTTTGTTTAAATTAAATCTTCAGGATTTTGTTGTGGATTAAATCCTCAACTAACAGCTTGTTATACATTTTTTTTCCCACAAAATGTCATTACAAAAAAAAAAAAAAAAAAAAAAA